TTTAACAGCAGAGGTCTCACTCCGAATCAGTCGAGCGGCAATATCTTTTCATCGGTTGCGTAACGCTGTGTGGAAGCTACCTGGTCTGTCGCTCCGCACTAAGCTTCAGGTCTTCTCGGCCACGGTCATTCCCTCCCTTCTCTACGCTTGCGAAACGTGGACCCCCCTAATGGAACATCTTCGCCGGTTAGAAACATTTAGGCTGACCTGCCTACGATCCATCCTGGGTTTAACCAGACTGGATTGTGTGAGGAGCTCACAAATCCTTGAAAGATCTGGGCAGGGTCCCATCGGTGAGCTCCTCCGGCAGGCAAGGCTGCGATGGCTGGGTCATGTAGCCCGCATGCCCAGCCACCGCATGCCGAAACAGCTTTTGTTTGGCCGGATTGAGGGGGCTAAGCGGGCGCGGCACGGGCTAGAGAAGAGATGGAGTGATGTGGTACAGGAGGACGTGGAGCTGAGTGGACTTGCCGATGACTGGTACCAGCGGTGTCAAGATCGGCCTCTGTGGAGGAGGCTCGTGAAGGATGCTACTGGGCAGTTGGAGGCAGTCGCCCTCCAACAACAACGGAGGGCGGAGGAGCGACGCTCACAACAGCGAGCGGAGCGCCGGGTGGCTAAAGCACAGCAGGTTGGCACAGTAGGGGGCACAGGTGGTGCATCAGCCAGTCATCTCAGTCAGTCGACCCGTGGCACCTGGGTCTGCCCGTGACCTCCTGCCAGCGGGCGTTCGACACTTCACGTGGCCTCAGGGTGCACATAGCCTGGCACAAGCGTCGTGGTGACGTCACCGCCACTTAGTGGCGAATGGCGGTTGTTGTTGTTGTTGTGTGACTGTGTGTGTGTGACTGTGTGTGTGTGACTGTGTGTGTGACTGTGTGTGTGTGTGTGACTGTGTGTGTGACTGTGTGTGTGTGTGACTGTGTGTGTGTGACTGTGTACGTGACTGTGTGTGTGTGTGACTGTGTGTGTAGTCCGGCAAAACAACCCCCTACAACCCCCTACCTCCTCGCGGTGCCGGACGGGTAACTCTGTCGTGGACAGTGCTGTGGGGGGAGATCCAATTTTGATTGGCTCCTCCCCTCATGGCATATGTGTCCACCACAGGGGCTAAACGGGGGCTCTGGACGGGTGCGAGGGGCTGGTAACCCCTCCACCTTCAATTAATTACCACGAAACCACGAATTAAACTGAAATATGTAACTAATAAGCTTGTGCCGGAGGCCCCGGGGGGCCAGGCGTCTATGACGTCTCCTGGCCAAACCCCAATTGGCGGAGCCAGGAGATTGAATACCTACCCTCGGGGCTACTCCAGAAACAACGAAAAGCCACTACGGGTGGCCACGTGGAATGTTCGAACGCTCACTGCAGAGGAGAGGCTGCCACTCCTCTGTCGGGAGCTGGACCGGTACCGCCTGGATCTATGCGGCATTCAAGGTCCGGTGGACCGGCTCTGGCTCCTGCCACCATGAGGGGTGGACAGTCCTCTACTCGGGGCAGCAGACTGCCAAACAACAGGGTGTGGGTCTTCTTTTGAACAAAAGAATGAAGGGGGCGTGGGAGCGTGGCGGTGAGGTGTGGCAAGCTGTAAGCCCCAGGCTACTTTGGGCTCGCCTTCCCATCAACCGGAGGCGAGGAATGGTGGTCGTGGTTACTTATGCCCCCACCGAAGATGAACATCCGTGGAGGGATGCAGGCAAAGCCGATGAGTCAGATGCCTTCTATGACCTCCTGTCACAGGTGCTGGCTAAAGTGGCCCCTCGGGATAGAGTCATCATGTTGGGTGACTTCAATGCCCGAGTTGGTCATGATACTGGCACCTGGTCTGGAGTGATTGGAGGGCATGGGCCAGATCAGCTCAATAACAACGGTAGGAGGCTGCTAGATTTTTGTGCAGCCCATGGGCTTGTAATTACCAACACGCTGTTCCGGCATCGGCGCATCCACACAACATCATGGATGCATGCCGGGTCCAAGCAAGAACATCTGCTGGACTACATAGTGACGGACCAGCGAATGCGAGCCCATGTCCTTGACACCAGGACCTACCGTGGAGCTGATCTGCCCTCTGACCATCGACTAGTCATCTGTAAGATGCGCCTGCCATTCTTCCACTCCGGTGGTGGGTGTACACCCAGGACCCCATTCCAACATAAAGTGGCCTCGTCTCAGTTATCTGATGAAAGTTGCAAGCAAGAATTTCATCATCGCTTGCGGCTGGGATTGGCATCGTCCCCGACTCCTCCTGATGTCGAGGGTAAATGGGCGAGGTTTAGGACTGTGACTCATGCAGCGGCAATGGCTGCTTTGGGTACGCGGTCCAGACCTCCCCAGAGACCCTGGCTGACAGAGGAGGTGTTCAGGATGGTTGAGAAAAAGCGACAGGCCCACTGTCATCGGCTACAGAATCCCACGTCAGAGAATGAGGAGGCTTACCGCAGCCTTCGCTCGGAGGTTCGGAGAGCCGTGAGGCGCTGCAAGGATGGGTGGTGGTCGCGGGTTGCTGAGGAGATGGAGTCTGCCTCAGTGGCCCGTGATCACAAATCTGTATTTAACTCCATCAAAAAGTAACCTGCAGCGCCACACCTATTACCATCATTAGGGGAAAAAGCGGTGATCCAATCTCCGACCCCCAGGAACAGGTTCGCAGATTTGCTGAGCATTTCTGTGAGGTCCTGGGGGAGGGAAAATCCCTCAGCCAGGAAAACATCGTGGCACAAAGTGAGGATGACCCTGCTGAGACTGCGGTGCCTCAAATATTGGAATAAGTCACCCCCTGTGAGTGGCTGGCTGAGGTGCCATCTGCTGAGGAAGTATTGAAGGCGATCCGGAGTCTGAGACCAGGAAAGGCAGCGGGCAGAGATGATCTCCCAAGCGAAATGCTGAGGGAGGGTGGCGTTTGTGCACAGACTGCCCTATATGACATCATAACAACAGTCTGGACCACTGGACGGGTTCCGCAGGATTGGAAGGATGCCCTGGTGGTCCCCCTTTTTAAGAAGGGGGACCGCACAGACTGTAACAACTACAGGGGCATCTCACTCCTCAGTGTGCCGGGAAAGGTCCTGGCAAGGATTATTCAGCATCGCCTTGCCAGGCACGCTGAGGAGAGGCTTGCGGAGCCCCAATGCGGTTTCAGGAAAGGGCGGTCCTGCACAGATGCCATATTTTCTGTCCGTCTGCTACAGCAGAGGTGTAGGGAATTCCAACAAGACCTACATCTCTGCTTTATTGACCTGGTCAAAGCCTATGATACCATCAGTAGGCCTGGGCTCTGAGTCGTTCTTCGTGCTTTTGGAGTCCCTGACCCTCTGCTCACGATCATTAAGGACCTTCATGATGGTGAGCGGGGCCGGGTAAAACTACGTGGCCGGGAGTCAGAGCCATTCCCTGTACACCTTGGGGTGCGACAGGGATGTCCTCTGGCTCCCACATTATTTAACATCTATTTTGACCACGTAGTTCGTGAAGCCTTCAATAGCTGTACCGGGGGAATCTCCATATGGTACAGATATAATGGGAGGCTAATCGATGCCCGGGTGCAGTCAAGGGATGGCTCCCTATTGCTCAACCACGTTATGTATGCTGATGATTTGGTAATAGCTGCTCAGTCAGAGGAGGAGTTGGAGACGCTGCTGCTGAGACTGGAGCGTGCCACTAAGAGGTGGGGCCTTACCATCAGCCCCACCAAAACTAAGCACCTGCCTGGGTATTTTGTACCATCGGACACTCCACCCCCACAACTCCCAATCGGTGATGGGGCAGTTGTGGAGAGAGTGGAGAGTTTCCCATACCTGGGCAGTGTGCTTATGACTGGCTCCAGTTTAACAGCAGAGGTCTCACTCCGAATCAGTCGAGCGGCAATATCTTTTCATCGGTTGCGTAACGCTGTGTGGAAGCTACCTGGTCTGTCGCTCCGCACTAAGCTTCAGGTCTTCTCGGCCACGGTCATTCCCTCCCTTCTCTACGCTTGCGAAACGTGGACCCCCCTAATGGAACATCTTCGCCGGTTAGAAACATTTAGGCTGGCCTGCCTACGATCCATCCTGGGTTTAACCAGACTGGATTGTGTGAGGAGCTCACAAATCCTTGAAAGATCTGGGTAGGGTCCCATCGGTGAGCTCCTCCGGCAGGCAAGGCTGCGATGGCTGGGTCATGTAGCCCGCATGCCCAGCCACCGCATGCCGAAACAGCTTTTGTTTGGCCGGATTGAGGGGGCTAAGCGGGCGCGGCACGGGCTAGAGAAGAGATGGAGTGATGTGGTACAGGAGGACGTGGAGCTGAGTGGACTTGACGATGACTGGTACCAGCGGTGTCAAGATCGGCCTCTGTGGAGGAGGCTCGTGAAGGATGCTACTGGGCAGTTGGAGGCAGTCGCCCTCCAACAACAACGGAGGGCGGAGGAGCGACGCTCACAACAACGAGCGGAGCGCCGGGTGGCTAAAGCACAGCAGGTTGGCACAGTAGGGGGCACAGGTGGTGCATCAGCCAGTCATCTCAGTCGACCCGTGGCACCTGGGTCTGCCCAGTGACCTCCTGCCAGCGGGCGTTCGACACTTCATGTGGCCTCACGGTGCACATAGCCTGGCACAAGCGTCGTGGTGACGTCACCGCCACTTAGTGGCGAATGGCGGTTGTTGTTGTTGACTGTGTGTGTGTGCGACTGTGTGTGTGTGACTGTGTGTGTGTGTGACTGTGTGTGTGTGTGACTGTGTGTATAACTGTGTGTGTGTGTGACTGTGTGTGTGTGTGACTGTGTGTGTGACTGTGACTGTGTGTGTGACTGTGTGTGACTGTGTGTGTGACTGTGACTGTGTGTGTGACTGTGTGTGACTGTGTGTGTGTGACTGTGTGTGTGTGTGACTGTGTGTGTGTGTGACTGTGTGTGTGACTGTGTGTGTGACTGTGTGTGTGTGACTGTGTGTGTGTGACTGTGTGTGTGACTGTGTGTGTGTGACTGTGTGTGTGACTGTGTGTGACTGTGTGTGTGTGACTGCCAGGTGGCGCGCCGCGAGCACCGCACGCGCTTCCTGACGCGTGCGTGTTGCGGCTCCGCGCACGGCGCCTGCTACGCGCTCGCCATCGCCATCCTGCTGCTGGGCTTCTACAGAGACTACCGGTGCCGCCTCGCCACACAAACTCGCTGCTTGACCACTCAACGCAAATCATTACAGATTTACAAATGCCACTGCGGTCTTTGCCACTCCGTTACGAGGTAGAGAAACCTATACAATATACTTGGATTCAATGTAAACAAGTCGTTTACATTTGTGTGTTACCAGGTAAGGCCCACTGAGCTACGGGGCTCTTTTTCAGAAGCGACCTGCCCATCACAAAGGATGGCCCAACAAAGTGGCTTATCGCGTGGAAATGTATAGCGGTAAAGTCCTCTAATCGCGCGATGTTGATTTTAAATGTGGAGATAAAAACCGGAGGACCCGGAGAAAAATCTGCACGACCACGGGGAGAGAGACAAGCAAACTCAAGAAATATACACAGCAGGCGTGAGGGTCGGGATCGAACCCTGTATACCAGGCGAGGTAGTTAACATCCCGACGCACGTGTCATCCATCGGGCAATCCCTGCTTCAAGCTTGTCCGTGCATATGTTGAACTTCTTTCGTACCATACATAGCCAACCATGCTTATCGGAGGTGTGGGTGAAGGACAACAAACTAAACACCAAAAGGAGTTCTCAAAAGAAGCTGAGGATGGTGCCCCAGTGGTAATGCGCGTACACCACAGCAACAAGAGGCTGGGTTCAGTACCCGATGCCCAAGCCGGGCGCTTGTCAGTGTGGAGTTTGCACAAACTATTTAAACTATTTTTTGTCATTATTTTACCGGCTACGTAGCTCTTTTTCAGCAGCTACCTGCTCACAAAGGACAGCTCGACGAAGTGGCCTATCACGTGGAAGTTTATAGCGGACAAATATTCTAAAACGCGCGACGTTGATTACAAATTTGGAGGGAAAAACTGCAGAAGGCGTGAGGGTTTGGATGGAACCTCACGAACCCCTCATTACCAGGCGGGGTAGTGAACATCTCCTAGCCACCGTTCTCTCTCTTCCTCTCTTCTGCATGGGTTTTGTCCGAATTGTCCGGTTTCCTTACACATCCCGAAAAAATAAACACAATGTAACCGGTATCGGCCAAACATCTGAATGCTGAAAAGTTACCTGCAAATTTACTCGGTTGGGATCATGCGCAGCAGCAGTAACAGCAACATCACCTGCTACTGCCAAAACTTGGCAGAACCTTCCTGAAAAACAGTCTTGAGACTCGGTGGGGCTTTCCTGCATGGGTAGACGAGCTGAATGATCACGAATTTTAAATTGGTTGCAACATTCAGAACCACTGAAGCGTGGTGGCTTCTGGGTTGTCACCACTGACGTGACCACTACCTTTCTACCCGTGCCGGGCGTTCCACAAATCTCTGCGAGGTCCGCGGAGTGTGGGAGCGGTGCGAGTTGGTTTCGTACGAAAGTCTGATGGTTTCTAGTTGTGTGAGGGACCTTTGAGACCCAAGTTTATTTTTCAAGACTTGGGCACAAGGACAAAAATATACCCTGCGGGCCTCTTGACCTTGTTATCTGCACGCTCATTTTCGTGTCGGTCTGTCACGGCATTTACTGGGGTAATGTTTATTGTACAGGGCCCAGTGAGGCTTCACTCTGACCAAAATGGATGGACGACCTCGAGAATTGATTTTGACTCTCATGTAACCTGTGACTTTTGACTGCTACTGCACTTGAATTCCAAATATACAGGTGTCGGGGTCGGGATGAAGCCCACAACCTGTATACCAAGCGAGGTAGTTAACATCTCGCCACCGTGATGAGAGGATTACGGCAGCGATAGTTAAAATCCCCGACCTTGACGACGCCTGTATATTTGTTGTTTGAGTGTTCTCCCCTTGTGGTCACGTAGATTTTTCTCCTGGCCATCCGGTTTTTCCCCTCCACATTTAGAATGAACGTGCATTTTAAATTATTTGGCTGATATAAATTTCCACGTGATAAGCCAATTCGTTGAGATATTGTGATAGCCAGGTCGCCTCTGAACCTGGTAAATAGAATAGTTTAGTTTTTTTAGGGGGAAGGAGAACATAGAAACGCTACACAGGCAGTTTAACATGTAGGCTACACAGGCAGGCATCCGAGTCGGGAATCAAACCAGGGACCTCTTGCTGTGAGGCACGAGCGATACCACTGCATCGCCACCCCCGGCGTTTGTTTTTCGTGTGGTCCCGGTGACGGGCGACACACGAAGCGCCACCAGCGCCGTCGTTCTGCGCTCTCCCCCTCGCTGTGAACAGCTGAGCCAGGGCAGCAGCACGGTGGCTCGCACACACAGTGACGTCGCGTGCCTATTCACCGGATTCCCTGTACCCACGCCACACCGCACTCCGTAGCCCGTACCCACACACCGCACTCCCGTACCCCGTACCCACACACCACGCCGCACTCCGTAGCCCGTACCCACACACCGCACTCCGTAGCCCGTACCCACACGTCACACTCCGTACCCCGTACCCACACACCGTACTCCGTAGCCCGTACCCACACACCACGCCGCACTCCCGTAGCCCGTACCCACGCACCGCACTCCGTAGCCCGTACCCACACGTCACACTCCGTACCCCGTACCCACACACCGCACTCCGTGCCCCGTACCCACACACCACACTCCGTAGCCCGTACCCACACACCGCACTCCGTAGCCTGTACCCACACCGCACCGCACTCCCGTAGCCCGTACCCACACACCGCACTCCGTAGCCTGTACCCACACACCGCACTCCGTAGCCCGTACCCACACACCGCACTCCCGTACCCCATACCCACACACCGCACTCCGTACCCCGTACCCACACACCGCTCTCCGTACCCCGTACCCACACACCGCACTCCGTAGCCCGTACCCACACACCGCACTCCGTACCCCGTACCCACACACCGCACTCCGTAGCCCGTACCCACACACCACACTTCGTAGCCCGTACCCACATGCCACACCGCACTCCTGCCATGAGGATGTTTTGATACGAGGGGAGTGGTTAGCGCTACGTTGCGCTCCAAACCCGGCGAGCCCAAGTTCGATTTCCGCTCACGGCCGCCACCGGTGATGGTTATCTGAACCTGTCCTGAGCCTCCCTTAGGTCGACTCAGCCTCAAATGAGTACCCGGTGCGGTGTATTAACATCGCCACTGGGGGAGACAAAGGCGGCGGGGCGTGCTGTGGAGGATCCTTGTCCCGGGGTCTATTTGGCGCATTGCCGGGCGTGGCGCTGCAGACACTGCGACGCGTGGACAGCGGTGGAGCGCATCAAAGTATTCCGCGCTCCGTCTGACAAACTCGTGCGGTGTCAGTGTCCCTGCCTGAGTTATTATTCGTTCACAGTTTGTTACGGTTCCGGTGTCGGAGCTCTTTCATCCGAACGGAGGGGGGTGGGGTGGGGGCGGCAACTCTCCAACTCTGCAGAAGTTGGAGAGTGCCCCCTGCTGTGAAGTTTTCATCCTCTCAAGAGACCGGGGCGCAGGTGGCCCTCGTTAGGGATGTGGCTTCAGTTACCAATCATCACTCAGTCTTTATTTTACGTGCCAATTTCTGAGTGAGCATCACAGCAGAACGGAACGCGACAGTGGGGCACGGAGCAACAGGGATGAACAGAGAGACTCCCTCACGACCTCAGCGGCCGACACCGACCGAGCAGATTAAATCTCAACCGCACGCAAAATAAAGTGCAACCGGGCGCCACGAACAGCGAGGAGAAAAATAAGTATTACATAAAAAGGAGAGAAACAGTTTTTAGTTTCCCTTACATTTTCTATTTCCTGGACAAGACAGACGAGTCTTGCACATAGCCGCAGGATAGATAGACTCGGCGGGTACCCTGCAGCGCAGTTCGCCCAATTTCCATCGAAGGGAAGCCGCCAAGGCCAATCGGCCATTCTGCTCAAGGTCTGGCGAAGCTGTGAGCCTGCGGCCGCGGACTGTGGCTGGGACGGACGGCCCTGAAGCGAGACTTGGGCACGAGAAGAGAACTCGGCTCTCCCTCGCGCGGTGCCACCACCGCCTGGACACTGTGATCAAGGCCGCTCGCGATAGAAAGCCTTGGGCAGTATCGATCGCCTTGAGTGCCTTTCGGAGACGAATGTAACTTTTTTTTTGGAGCAACAAAACTGACTGCGGTGGATGTGTGTCTACGTTGCCTAGTGGGGAGCGGTGGTGCAGCGGTTAGCGCGCCGCGCCACGAACCCGACAACCCGAGTTCGACTCCTGCTCACTGCCAATACCGGTTACGATTATCTGAACCGGTCCTGGGCCTCCCCTAGGTCGACTCGGCCTCAAATGAGTACCTGGTGCAGTGTGTAGTAAACATTGCCACTGGAGAGACAAAGGCGGCCGGCCGTGGTGCTGGCCACCCACCCCCTCGTGTGCCGTTATGGCCTTCATAGGCGCTACTCGCTATCAGCACTTGCCCCAACAGTCTGTTAAAGGCTATACGGGGGATCTTTGTCTTGTCTTTTTGTATGTTGAACTTCGTTGGCACCGTACGTAGCCAACCGTGCTAATCGGAGGTGCGGGGAGAAGGACAACAACACTAAACACAAAAAGCAGTCCTAAAGAAATTTTCAATGTAGATTTAAAAGTGCATAGCTCCAGTGGGCTTCCTAATATAAGAAGGAAGAGCGTTCCAGACGGCCACAGAAGCGCGTCTGAAAGCGCGCGATGCAGAGACCATCTTCGTTCGACGGCTCGCCAAAAGCCGTCGCAGCTGCTGCTGCTGCTGCTGCGAGGACGACCGGAGTTTACGTGACGGTGGTTTACGTGACGGTAGTTTACGCTCCTTGAGATCGGGAACAAGGTGTTGTGGTTTGTTTGTAGCAAGCACTCTGGGTGTAATGAGCGCGAGCTTACAACGCATTCCTTCGGCAGCCGTTGGACTTCTTCCGGCACCTTCTGTGGCCAACCGTGCCAATCGGAGGTGCATGGGTCAGAAGATGAACACACAACAGCAAGAACGACGTGCTGTACCGAGCTGGACTAAACTTCCACTGGGCTCTCTTTACCGATGCGGTGTGAATGCCGTGTTTACAGCTTGCGCGGTTTACGTG